GTGGGCGTCCGCGTACGATACCATCCTCTGACGGACAGGCTCCGGTCGCGTCTCTCGCGCTAGCCTGCTGTGCCCGGCGCACATACCGCTTCGCCCCTCGACATCAACCTTCACTCTTTGCTTCTGCTGCGCTAGTACCTCAGTCGACCTTCACCCTACGCTACTCCCAGCGTTTGTACCTCAATCGACCTTCACCCTACGCTCTTGCTAGCGTTAGTTCCTCGGTTGAACGGCATTCTCGGCCGCTGCATCTTCAGCCTGTCGAGGTCCCCCACAACGGCGCAACACATGTGTATCTGCGTCCGGCAATGCAGTCAAAATCGCGCTTTAAAACTTAAAAACTTACGGTTTTACGCTTCTAGAACACTAAAATGCTTTCGTTTCCATATAAAATCTTAAGTGTATAAAATCGGGACTGAAATGCGCTTTAAAGCTTAAAAGCTTACGCTTTTACGCTTCTGGTTCACCAAAACGCTTTACGCTTTTACGCTTCTAGTTCACTAAAGGAGTATTCTATTCACGAAAATACTTATATTTTACAGGTAAATCACAAAAAATATGATATATTTAAGATTAAAAGATACATATCAAGTACTTGGGTGCATTCTTAGTTTCAATAGAGTAATCTAATTCACCAACTAGGCCCTTCCCAAAATCACTAGCTTAGAGGGGAAGGTAGCTTATGGTTAAGATATATGTTTATGAACTTATTTGTTAAAATGTTATGAGTTTCTCAACTTTAGACATGAATTACAGGTATTTATTAACTTATCTAAACTATGTGCACTCATATTTTGCATAGTATATGTCGTACTTAACACATTTTCTGTTATTTTACAGTATGCGTCAAAAACTTACGTTTTTACGCTTTGATTCTACGGTTTACGATTTTACCCATTTTCCGCTTCTAGGTAGAATCGCGCTTTTGACTGCATTGGCGTCCGGACCGCCTGATATGCTCACCCAGGACCGCCTCTCATTCGGGCATAGGGTCGGCCCATACACGACCTATGCCGTACTGAGAGAGGAACTAGGCTCTTCAGCCTAACCAGGCTCTGATACCATTTGTCACGGACATAGACTTCCGAAGTCCGTGCGGCGTCTTGAGGTGCACTCGTTCCTCAAGACCAGCCTCTCTGCATACGCATGCCAACTGGTTTCGCCCTGCCTTGGGCTCATCAGGGAGACGGCAATAGCCTCCGACCAGTTGTGCCTTCTCTTGCAACGATCCCCTTCATAGCCACATCCTGACTCGGCTAGATGCGATGCACAGGCAGACAACGCCTTATCGCTAATGTCGCCCCCTTTACCCTTCTCATGGCAAGACAACCAGATGGCAGCGTTCTTCAGACGATCAACACGGTCACGACATTTCGGGTCGTGACAAGGTCCCAAGACCAGCTTATTTCCTCGATGCAAGCATATACCGTAAATGTTTGCATTGAGCTTGAGTTTAGGGTCGTTATTGGATGAAATGAAACTTTTCGAATAAGTACAGATTGTTGAGATTCTGTATAAGGATTAAGGACTTCAAAGAAGAAGGTCAGTACATAATTGTATCATGCCTTTACATCCATAGTTCCAAAATCTGACATGGTTAAAAGTAAGATATGTGAATTTAAATTTGTGTAATTGGGATTTATAGGTAGCAATAGCATAGAATTTTTGCAATTTTACCACTGAACTTCAATAATAATAATAATAATAATAATAATAATAATAATAATAATAATAATAATAATAATAATAATAATAATAATGAACGACCATCCCTTATAAGTGATAGCAATAGAAGTTCAACATAAATTTGTGTAATTGTAAAGTATCGATAGCATAGGAATATCATTAATTTGACAAAAATGTATTTGTTTATTAGAACAGTTAGCCAGATGGATGGAAATACTGAAACATGTTTATTCACTCGAATTACTGAAACATGTCACATTTAGTCACTCGAATTATTGAAACCAATTTAGGGTTAATACCTTATTTTGGCTTCAACTATGACCATATAATCAATTTTGACCCGTGGTTTCAGAAATTAACATCCTGGCCTCGACTATGTAACATATACATATAGACTCAATTGGTCCCACACCTAGTTTGACCGTCAACTTGGATGGTCAACATCATTGACTGTTAGTCAACACGCCATGTCATTGCCTTGTCAGCCTAAAAATCATTAAAAAATTCAAATTCAAACTATTTTTTTTATTTTTATTATTTATAATCAAATTACCAAAAAATAATTTATAAAATAAATATTTTCTTATTTTTTGTGTAATTCGAAAATGATAAATTATAAATTGAACAAAAAATATCAAATTATTTTATATATTTAACATTACCCAAAATAAAATATATAATTTATATCATATTTTTTAAATTTATAAAATTTAATTTGATCATTTTTGGTTAAATTATAAAATTTATCATTTTCAAATATAAAAAAATTAAATATAAGTTTTATTTTATTTTTTGGTTAATTTGAAAATGATAAATAATAGAAATTAGGAAAATAATTTGATTTTGATTTTTTTAATAATTTTTAGGCTGACGAGGCAATGACATGGCATGTTGACTAACGGTCAACGGTGTTGACCATCCAAATTGATGGCCAAACCATGTGTCGGGCCAATTGAGTCTATATGCTACATAGTTGAAGCCAGGATGTTAATTTCTGAAACCACGGGCCAAAGTTGATTATATGGTCATAGTTCGGGCCAAAATAAGGTATTAACCCAAAAATTTAATATAAATTTTGGTCACTCGAATGACTGAAACAGGTTTCAGTAATTCGAGTGACTAAATGTGACATGTTTCAGTAATTCGAGTGATCGGAGTTGGACGGAGACTAACGGGAAAGTGACTAAATGTGACCTGTTTCAGTAATTCGAGTGACCAAAATTAATATTAAATTTTTTTGTGACTAAACATGACATAATTTAATAATAAAAAATTACATTTCCAAACTCCAAACTTTCCTCCGATAGGCCGGAGAAGATTTCAACGCCGATGACTCCGCGGGGAAAATACAATAGGGGAACAAAACTCCACAACCACAATCTTGCTTGAACAAAAATCCCAATTGAACCAAACAATCAGACAAACAAAAGGAGAAGAAAAGAATTGTGAATGGAGACCGGCAACGAAAGTATTGATGCTCATCATCATCAATTAATGGCGGTGGTTGCCGTGCAGCACAAACAAAATATGGTCGGCCGGCGTCGGCTGTATTGCTTCTGCGCTTTCCCTTTCGACGGAACCAATGCCGCCGATTTCTCTTTAGATGCCCTGCTGTTACTGCGAGGGGATCCGTTGCTATCGCCCTCTTTAATCCGTCCCACGATTAGCGACGTCTCAGAATCACACCTCTCTAGGGTTTGAACCACTTTCTCTTCTGCCTGCATCGCTTCTTCATGATTGACCGATTCCACAGTGTGGGTCTGTTTGGTGGGAGGGATTATCGTGTTCTTGTCCTGGTAGTGCTGGAGCAGCGGAGTCTGATCGGAATAGTCCTCGGTGATGCTCCGTCGCCGGAGATGGAGGTTGAAGCTCGGTGATTTCTGCATCTTGGAATTCGCGCTGAAGTTATCAGGTACCGAGTCGGTGCTCAGCCTTCCCAATTGCTGATCGGCCTCCCCGTTCTTCGCCGGAAGCTGGATTGGGTAAGGAACAACGGGTTCTTGTGGATCGGCGACGAAAGTTGGAGCCACATCGGCTAAGAATTCGGGGCCATTTCCAGGGTTGAATTCCCAGCTGGAGGTACTGCTGCTGTCTTGGGGAGAATCTCCACTCTCAGCTGGAGCCTTCTCTTGCTCCGGTGGCGACTCTGGCTCACACCCTTCTTCGCCTTCTGTTTCATCCCCGCCATTTTCGATTTCTGAAGCTTCTCTCTGCTGCTTGATTACTTCAGAATCTTGTTCTTTGTTTGAGCTATCTGTGGTTGTAATCCCCGATTGAGGAAGGTCCATCTTCTGTTCTTCAGAAGCAGGCTCATTTAGGGATCCGTTGCTCTCATTTTCAGGCACCGTCGAGCAATCAATTTGTGACCCATTTTCTGATTCCTGATTCTGATTGTTTCCATTTTTTACCGCATCTTCAGATTCTTCTTCAGTAGCTACCTCTGCCGGTGGACATATCAGCTGGTTCGCCAATAACTCTTCCTTTATTATGTTCTCAAGCAGAAGAACTCCTTCAGGATTATGAGAGGTATGATCATCTGAATGCTGATTTGCCAATAAATCTTCAGAATCTTCTTCAGTAGCTATCTCGGCTCGTGGAGATACCGGTTGGTTTGCCAATAACTCTTCCTTTATTATATTCTCAGGCACAAGAACTCCTTCAGGATTATGAGAGGTATGATCATCTGAATGCTGATTTGCCAATAACTCTTCCGAATCTTCTTCAGTAGCTATATCAGCCCGTGGAGATACCGGTTGGTTTGCCAATAGATCTTCCTTTATTATGTTCTCCGGCACAAGAACTCCTTCGGGATTATGAGAAGTATGATCATCTGAATGCTGATTTGCCAATAACTCTTCTGAATCTTCTTCAGTAGCTATCTCGGATCGTGGAGATATAAGTTGGTTTGCCATCAACTCTTCCTTTATTATGCTCTCAGACTCAAGAAATCCCTCAAGATTATGAGAGGTATGATCGTCTAAATGCTTACCATTCTGCAAACTAGTAATGTCAGCAGAACTTGGCTCTGTGATGATGGTTGAACTATTTTTTGGCTCGGCCTCGCCAGAATCCAGATGTTCTTCATGTTGAGGAAACAGAGCTGTTGAACTTGAGTTGCCTTCATTTTGAATTGATACCGATTCAATCAGTTCATAGGAATCCAGATGCTCTTCATCATGTGAAGACACAGCAGTTGTGATGCTTGAACTATGATCCTTCTTTGGATCCACCTTGCCAGAATCCAGATGTTCTTCATGTTGAGGAAACAGAACTGTTGAACTTGAGTTGCCTTCATTTTGACTTGGTAGTGATTCAATCAGTTCATAGGAATCCAGATGGTCTTCCTCATGTGAAGACACATCAGTGGAAGTAGTAGGGTTTGGTATCTCTGCCTCCTCTGTTCAGATAGAAATGATAAAGTTGTAAAGTTGAAGGCATCAATTAGATCAAGAAGCTATTTCTGTTGGCTAAGGGAATGAAGTATGCTAACCAACCTTGTTTGCATGGCTCCTGCCCTTCAGCCAAATCAGGGCTGAGTTCTTCTGTTTCCTCTACCAAATCATCTGATTGAAGGTTGTTATCTTTGCTTATTGTGTCATCAAATCCCGGGCTGGTTTCCAGAGATTCAGCAGTAGAAGTGGAGATCAGCATCTCTGTCGCCTCTGTTGCAGATTGAAAGGAGAAAGCTCTATAGTTAAGGCATCAATTAGACCTATTTGTTATTTCATCTAGTCCGTTCACTCTAATTCATGATTGTGCCCATAGATGGAGTGTGACACAATTGCCGGTGTGGACATAACCACGGAATCAATTAGGTATCTGTAGATGTAGTCTTAATATCGGTGAATTTGGAAATCCATTATCCAAACAACCAAGTTGTTGCCATATGGAGTAAAGTAGACTGACCTTGCTTGAACGACTCCTGGTCTGCAACCAAATCCAAATTCTGTTGTTCCAATTCCTCAGGCAAACTATGGAGTTGAAGTTCACTGTCTTTGCTTCTTGTTTCATCAGCCTCTGGGTTTGGAGATTCAGCAGTGGAAGTTAATGTCAACTTCTCTGCTTCCTCTGTAGGAGAAAGTTCCAAAAGGTTACGGCATCAATTAGTTAAATATCTTACCCTGCATGAAGAGTCTTTAGAAATATTTGATTGTTCATTGACTATGAAGTGAATTAAGCCTGGCTAACCTTGCTTGAGTAGCTCCTGCTGTTCAACTAAATCAGACTTAAGTTGTTCCGTTTCCTCGATCAAACTACCTGGTTGAAGATTGCTCTCTGGTCTTCTTCTTGTTTCACCATCATCAAATTCCGGGTTGGTTTCCGGAGATTCAGCAGTTGGTATATTATCACGAACTTGTTGGCTCTCCTCTTCCACTTCACGATCTACAGGAGCGTAAAATCATCATTTGTGAAGTACTGAAGTTAAATCAACACTTCTTATGCTCTGCTCTGCAGTGTTTTGGAAGTTGGAACAACAAAGTTACCTCCTTTACCGCCATTCACAAGATCAAGAGCACCATCTGATCCCGGATCATTCACCGAAACTACAGGTTGTTGAACAGGCTTCCCTTGAGCTGGTTGAACCAGCTTTGTGCTACCCTCTTCTCCGCCATTCACAAGATCAAGAGCGCCATCTGATCCCCGATCATTCACCGAAACTATAGGTTGCTGAACAGGTTTCCCTTGATCTCGTTGATCCACCTTTGTGTTACCCTCTTCTCCTATACCTTTATTCAGCATTTCATTAGCCAGCTAAAGAAGAGCACGCAAATGCAGAAACAAAGAAAGGAAAAGAAAGGCAAGTGGTGCAAATCAGGGAAGGGATACCTTGGAACTCATCAGACGTACTGTTAGTATTCCCCATCTCATTTCCCATACGTCCTCAGCCTGATCCAAAAACAGAGATATAAGAGAGCACCAAGCTGCTTGAAGAACCTGCGACATTTGGCAGTCTCTGCGGCAGTATATGAAGAATAATGGGGAAAAGGAAGAAAAGGGTCCCATATTCAACCATAAGAAGATGATTATGGCCACTTGCCACACCGGCCGCCAACAGTAGTGGAGCGGCTGCCTTGCCACGCTCAGTTTTCTTTTTTGCCAGGGTGTTGTGTTTGTCATTAGGGATGGAAAAATCAGCTCTGCAGAAAAGTTGAAGTCGCAGAATAAGGGAAAGGCGGGCATTTGTCAGCCAAAACAGATACATTGGCCAGGCCACAGTGGAAAGGAGGCCGGCATAGCCAAGTCTTCTCATTACTTTTCTATAGTTTTTGGACTGATTGATTGAATGAATTCTAATAGTTTTGCAATTGATTAAAGGGAAGTGTCGGTAAGCTTGGGCTTATCATTATGTCTTGAACTTCCCATTATGCATAGACTCCATTGATGTAGCTAAAGAAAGGGCTAAGGCTATCTGGAGACAGACAGGGAATATAATTCTTTAGGTCAGCCTGCTTGATCTGTATTCTCCTGTGCACTAAACTAAACTAACATGGCAGAAGAATGTTCCTTTCTGTCCATGTAAATCTTAGATGGAGTGGGACTCAAGTTCAATTGTAGGGGACAAGTATTTGTTTCTTACAGCAGTCACATTCTACTTCCTAATCTATACAAGCAGCAAAATCTGCAGAGCCTTCACTCTCCTACTCCAAAACCTCTTGTAGCTTACCGAGCAACTCAGGGACATCCAAGCCTCTCTTCAAATACACTCGTCAGCAGAGCTCCCTCCTTATCTCAGCAGATGACCATGCTCCTGAGCGAACGACCCACCTTACCGTTTCTAAATTTAGTATCTAGTTCGTGAATTCTGTTAAGAACCAGTTAGTTAGTCCCAGGTAAATCAAGTTGTTGGAAGAAGGCTAATTATAGATCATATACCACTCTCTTACACATCCCAGCATCCCACCCTTCATGTCATTACTCCATGCTCCCATCATCAAATCATAAAGTCTTATACGAGGGAGAGTAATATTTGTTTACTAGAACTCTTATAAACATTTTCTTTTATCACTAAACTCATTCAACAACTTGATCGACTTGAATTGACCTTTCTTCGTGTAAGATACGATTAATTATAGTTAAATTCGTAAGGTGTAAAATTTGCAATTCTGTAAGTTACATATTCAATCCGGTTGGGAAAGTTGTTCATTTCTCAAAATGGAAGAAGGCCGAATCGAGGGCCTACAAGCGTGGTCAAGGCAGCCCTGGCCATCAGATTACCCCCACCGCTCGAGCCGACCCATGCCGGTCGAAGATTAAAGATAAAAGGAAGGGGTTGAGTGTCGAACATTGCATCGTTTGTAGGCTCGAAATCATATACTCAAGCCTTCAACTCTCATAATTAGGCATAACCCAAATGCATTGCGTGTGTAGAAAGGATGAACAAGTGGAGGTAGCTTTCGGTTTCGATCACTTGGAGCCGGGCATGCTATGTAAAAGGAAATGAATAATGCTATAGTGATAAGGTCTAAAGAAAAGCCGGCCATGTGCAGACAGAGGTGGTGGTGGGTCTTCGTTAATTACTCGAAAGTTTCTTGATTAGCGTTTTGAAGCTTCAGTTTGTATTGTAATTAGCTGCTGTGGGTTTTAGTGACTTTTGCAAGCTCAAAAGGGGTTGGCAATGTATGGAGGAAGGATGGGTTGGTTGGCTTGCTGGAAATGGGGGAGATCTCCCACCATGTCCGTACCTTTTCTTGAGCTCATACTCAAGTCATAGATTGGCCGATGAAATGACATGATGGCTCCCATTTGCTTGTTTTCATGCTTGGACCCATTAGCTTCTTTGTGACAAGGGAAGTCATACTCATCGGTTTAGAGACATCTTTGCATCGGTTTAGAGACACTCTGTTGTATAAAAATTGTTGTTCAATAATGAGAAAGTCACGATTTCATTCCATGTTCATGGTATTGGTATTGGTATTGGTATCAGAGCATCATTAAACTCAGACGAGTACTTCTTCCTCCTGCTGTCTTCTCCCTCCCATCAAATTCCAGCTGACTTTGAAGCTTACTCCAACCAATTACTTGTTGCGGAAGGTACAACTACAACCTCTTCTTTGATTTCATCGGCCACGTCAACGACACTTCTCCTCCACCTCTAAAGAAAATTGATACACAACCAAATCCAACATACAATACATGGTGTGAACGTGACCAATTAGTCCTTACTTGGATAACCCTCTCTTTGTCTAAAGCCGCGATGCCCAATATCATCAACAAACCATTTACACATGCTGCCTGGTGTCACTTGCTCGAGTATATATGTGTCTGGGTCACCGGTGACTGTCACTTAGCTGCTAAGGTCTCTCAATCACATCACCTGCGGCTCCGACTCTGCTCACACTTATTTACGGCGAGCGAAGGGTATTTTTTATCAATTGACAATACTCGGCTCTCCTAGTACCAAACTTTACATCGTTATCGCCATTCTTGATGTCCTCGATGAAGACTTCCAGCCCTTTACACGCAATATGAAGACGAAGCTCGAGCAAGTATCCTTTGAAGACCTTGGTAGCCTCCTTGTCAGTGAGGAGCTGGAACTTAAGCAATTCTGAGCATTATTGTCCGGTGGAATTTCTTCGACGTAGGTGTTCTTCAATGACTCAGCTCGCGGACAGGAGGACGACGCTCTCGTAGCAGAGGCGTCACACACAATGGAGTGCTTGGAGCTGGGGGCCCTCAAGCCCAACTCCTCTTATTTGTCATAATTGTGGGGGTAATGGGCATAATCGGCCCAATTGTTCCAGCCCAAGCTATTTTACTAGCCCCTTATTTGACTGGCTCAGCCTCTCACCTAGCCCAATCCTCTCAGTCAGCCCATTATTCCGAAAAGTGGTAAATGGATTATGGTGCTAATCATCACCTGACTTCGAATCTTGATAATCTGGTCCATCATCCCGAGTACAATGACACCAATCAAGTAATCTTTGACGATGGTAAAACTCTCTCTGTCTCTCAATATCTCATTAGGGTTCTTCTACTACGTCCATTCCCCATAGAGGTGGCAATTGGATCGGATTCGTGGATTCGTGGATTGAATTGGTGGATCCATGGATCAAATGGATTGGATCCAATGGATTGGTGGATTCATGGATTGGATCAAATGGATTGGTGGATTGATCCATGAATCCAAATGACATTCAAGGCTTGGACCAAAATGTAAAATTTGAAAAGTTTTGGTACTAAAATGTCATAATGAAAAATTTTAGGTACCAAAATGTAATTTTCCAATGATATTTTTCGTATAAAAATATAAATTTTAGGTACCAAAATGTAAAATGTAAAAAATATAGGTACCAAATCGTAATTTGCCATTTGGATCCATGGATTGATCCATGAATCCACCAATCCAATTGGATTTGGATCAAATGGATTGGATTTAAATGGATTGGATTAGGTGGATAATTTGGTGGATGGATTGGATTGGATTCATGGATTTGGATCCTAATTGCCACCTCTAATTCCCCATTATTCATTTCCCTTGATAATTCTTCGTGTTCAAAATGCTCAACTTAATCTTCTTTCGATCAGCTCTTACTCGTTTTAATCCTATTTTCATTGAATTCATTGACTCTTATGTGTAATCAAAGACTGTCACACGAAGCATGAGCTATATCATGATGATACGATTGATGAGCTTTTACACTCTTTCTCTCCACATCAGTCGATGTCTTACACCTCGTGTCTTTTCCGCTTCACTTGATCTTTGGCATCTACGTCTTTGACATGCTAATCTTCGTGTTGTTCAACACTTAATTGTCTAGTCATCAAATAAAGTACTCCGATCCTTCCCCTTTTTTCAATTAATGACAAGGTAACATAGTTACAGCCTCTACCCAGAACCCCCCAAGCAACAGCTAGTGAAGCCACCCTACAAAGTCAAAAGAAGCTATCTCTAAAGAGGACAGCAACATGGCTTGTCTTGCCACTCTATGGACAACCGAGTTGACAGTCCGCGGGACCGCTTGTTCCTCTTTCTTATGTCATGGAACTTATATGTAGTTATCTTTGGGGCCATGCTCTTGTTTTTCCTATGATCATGAATCGTAGTGTGTGTTGTTCTATGATCATTTTAGTAAGTTTAGCTGGATTTATTTTATTCAATATAAATCCTAGCTTCCTAATGTTTTTATTCAATTTTGTCAACTTGTTGAAAAATTCGTTGGCCTTCCCATTAGATTTTTCCCCAGTCTGATTGGGCTGGTGAATATCAAGCACTAATTTCTTATCTTATGGAAAATGGTATTGTTCAACATTCATCAAGTACATATACTCCTGAACATAATGGTTATGCAGAACGAAAACACCTTCAAATTGTCAACAATAGTTGAACAAAGTGCAACTTCTTGTCTTGACACGTCTTGCTATCTTATTAATCGTACTCCTACTCCTCTTATTAACAAGCATTCACCATTTGCTACTTTTTTCAATCAATCCCCCCCTGATATTCTCAATCTCTATGTCTTTTAGTTGTTTATGTTATCCATGACTTCAGCCTTACACTTCTCATAAACTACAACCACTGATTCAGGCATAATTACACATACTTTACCCCTTATATCTTGATTGTTTGACTTGGTTATCATCTTTCCTCGACTTATTTTACGCTAGGTTGTGCTTCTTTTGTCACATTTCAGGTCCTAGTACATGTGGGAAGGTCCGGGACGAGTTTCGCGTCATTCAGAGGTCAAAATTAGCCAAAAAGTGGAGGTTGTACAATGATCACGGGCATCACTCATTTTTCATGCTTTGAGGGGGTGAAAATCACCCCTAGACCGTGAAGTTAGCAAATTCCAAAAGCCATTGTGCGTCTCGCTGACCTAAAAATTGTAACGGTCCTGTGACCGTGAAAATGACTCCGTAACCATGAAAATATCCCAAAATGGTGCGTTTTTTGCCGAGATCACCCTCTGCTTGCTGTTATCCCCCCCCCCCCCTCCCGAATAGTGATTGTGAAGTCGGCATTGTCGGGCAAATATAAAGACAACAGTTGGGAGAGAGAA